CTTCCTACTCTCCTTCTCCTCTCTCCTTCTCTCTCTCTCTCTCTCTCTCTCTCTCTCTCTCTTTACTTCAAAGATGAATTTTCATCAACAAAATGCATATACTAATGTTTCTGTTTATATTAAGCATCATAAAATGTAATCAAAAGAAAAAAACGAAAAATTGTTCACTGGAAAATAATATTTCAGATATTAACTTTTGGTAAATATCTTTGCTAAAATTTCATATTTTAATAAAAAAGAAAGAGATAAAAAAAAAAATGAAAACTTGTTTAGCTAAATTGATTGTTAAGAAAATATTTTAGATAAACCTATCCTAAAATTAGTTTTTAATTGGCTTCATCCACTTTAGTATTCCATGAATATGGCAATTGAGAACATAAAAGATAGGAATGGTTAAATGCCACTTGTATCAATAATGCAAAAGATAAAACTAGCGAAGTGAAAATTTGGTATAAATACTTATTAATTAATTAGAAATTCTCATAATTATAAAAAATATGCAAATTTTCAAACAAAATTTGGAACATTACACAGTTAATTTTAATCAGTTTTGTGTAAAATGCTAACTGCTTAGATAAAACATTTCAATCAGTATAACATCTCATATTTCAATTCATGACTAAATAATACTTCAAGTAGTTTTTTTTTCTCTCTGAAACTATAATTATGTGTCGGAAATACCATGAAATATAGTTTTCAGTGTGAAGATCATTCATTGATTCGTAAATCAAACGACAGATCAATTTGTTTTGTATTCATAGAACTGCCAATCAAATAATTCAACCTTTTAGTAATTTAATTAAAAATAAAAACTGATAGCAAAGCAAAAGAAACCTTTGAAGACAGGTAAACAAAAAAGTAATATTTTTATTCCAAAGAATTTATCTAAATAAATGATATAAAAGTAATGGAACTAGAAGAAAGAGGCAAAGAGAAATTTCAATTAATGTTCCAGAGTAGATTTGAAATTGATAACATAAGCATAAAAACTCAAGCGATGTTAATGCAAAACATTACGACCAACAAGGCATTAAACAACACTAATGTCTTGATAGAAGCAGAAAAGGTAAAGAAGTGGAACGAAATGACAAAGATATTAAAAATTAAAAATGGAAAAAAAGGTGGGAAAGAAAAAAGGCAAACTAATTTATTTTGTTAATAACTTCATCGATGAATTGCTGGACGGAATGAAAGTAAATAGTTAATTTGCCTTGTTTAAATGACGCATATTTCAACAGGTAGACAATATAAATCATTTAGGTGACTGAAAAAAACTTGAGGAAATTTAACAGCAAAGTTTCAAGTTTCTGGAATTTACAAAAAACTTGTTATCTTAGATTTGGAAAAGTCCTTTCTTTTTTATTTTCAAATATAGGGAGAATATTAATTTATAGTTCATGAGAAAGATAAGGTTTGGATGACTTAATCATCTATCTGCGTCTCTTTATATCTGGGATTTAATGGTTTTAGGACCGCGGCTATCAAATTCTTTGGAACAAGAAAAATGCTAAATTGAACTAAGCAATCAATTCTAGCAAATTTAGATTCTCCATATTTTTTAATTACCTCAACAACTCCTTCCTTCCACCTATCAAATCTTCATGTCAGGTTAGCTTGAAATTTTAGAGTAATATAACACAAATAAAATGTGAATATCAGTCTAATGAGGCTAGTTTGCATAAACTGACATTTCTGGCCCTAAATAATTAAAAATGGAGGCTACAAATTCATTATACATAGCATAACTATGTAGTAACAATAATCACTAAAATACGATATTCTTACCTTATTTATTAAGTCAATCCAAAAATAATTACACCTTTTCAGGTAATTAAACCAAGTACACTTTTAAGCCGTTACTAAGCATTAATCCTTCAATACTAACCATAATAATAAAAAAAAAAAAAACTTATAGCAATTAATTCATTTTTCCAGCAAGATGATAGTTGTAGTTTAACAAGCCCATTCATCGAGATTTAAGAAATCACTGAAATGTATTCGATATATCTTGTAAAAAGTTGTCGAGATATTTGATTATATGAATATCGTGAGGAGATTACTTCGACCTTTTTTTGTTGAACTTTTGGTTGTCTGACATATCGCTGTCGTCTGCCATG